AAAATACTAATACAAGTGCAAGGAATGTTTTATCTATGTGGTGACAATGTATTTATAGTGTATTATGTGGCAATAGAGGCCAAATAGCATATATAATGTTGATTTGGTATTTGGCCATATTAGGCAAAATGGCCATTGAGTGGCCAAATTTTGTTTTTGGTATGTTTTGTGTGTTTGATTGGTCACTCAAGTGTATTTTGGTCTATGGGACTTGTTCAAGTCTCACAATGGGTTAATGGTATAAGTTATGAGTTTTGGTACTTGGATGGTTGAAAATTTCTTTAAAAAATTGACTTTTGCATCTGAGTGTCTAAAATTCTCATATGGTGTCAGATCATAACGAACTTGTACCTTAGTTAGCTTATTGAATAAGCTTCACGTCAGCACTTGAGTCACTCTAATCGGACATCAGATGTGAAAATGGCACGTGTTCAAAGTTCATCCAGAAAAGCTGTCATGACAGCATGCTATCATGGACACGTGCGTTGCAGCGCATTTGTGCAAGCCATGGTGCACGGTACAGTGAGAAAATATGGCATTCTGTGCCACAAGCCACAGTGCATAGATCACGAGCCATGGCGCATGGACCAAAACACTCAATAATGACATTTTTGGCCCTGTTTTGAAATGGTTTGCTTCCTAAAACTTTTCCATGCTTCCAATGCCTATTTAAATCATTAAGTTTAAGTTCAAACTATCAATTAAAGGGTTTTTATGGGATCCCAAATATTCCTCAATTATTTTTAAAAGATTAATAGTTTTAACCCTTATATATATAATGTGAAGAGGAGGAAATCCTTTCTCCTAATTATGATTGGTTATTGTGATTGTGTGGTGAATTTTGGTAATGTCAAGGTGGACATTACACTTATACCATTAGATAAGCAACATGTAATGACTTTTGACTTAAGGCATCTACAACCACATTTGCTTTCCTTGATGGTATTTAAATTCAAGCTATAGTCCTTCAAGAACTCTATGCACCTTCTCTCCCTCATATTAAGTTCCTTCTAATCCACTAAATATTTTAGGCTCTTGTGATTGCTGAAAAAACTGAACACTACTCCATACAAATAGTGCCTCCAAATCTTTAATGCAAATACCACTACAACAAGCTTTAAGTCATAGGTCGGGTAGTTCTCTTCATGCGGCCTAAGCTATCTAGAGGCATAAGCCACTACTCACTCATCTTACATCAATATACATCCTAGACTTTTCAAAGATGCATCCGTATATACTTCATATGGCAATCATGGATTAGGAATTATTAATATCAATGCCGTAGTTAGTTTTTCTTTTAACTTTTGAAATGCAATCTCACACTTGTCATCCCAATCCTAAAAATCGGACCTCTCACAGCCAAAACTCATACTTGCTAAGCTTGGCATAAAACTTGTAGTCCTTCAAAATTTGTAGCAAATCCAAATGTTGCGCATGCTGCTCCTCATCTTTAGAATATATTAGAATGTCATTAATGAATACCAACAAATGATCCAGGTAAGGCCTAAATATACGGTTCAAGTAGTCCATGAAAACTACAGGCACATTTGTAAACCCAAATGACATTACCAAAAGTCATAATGCCCATATCTGGTACTAAAAGCCATCTTGGGCACATGCTCCAAGCGCACTCTCAATTGGTGGTATCCTGACCTTAGGTCAATTTTTGAGAAAACTGAAGCTCCCACCAATTGACCTAACAAATCATCAATTCTTGGTAAAGGATATTTGTTCTTCACCGTCACCTTATTCAACCATCTATAATCAATACAGAGTCATAAGCTGCCATCCTTCTTCTTAATAAACAACATAGGTGATCCCTAAGGTGACACACTGGGTCTAATAAACCCCTTTTCAAGTAACTCCTCTATCTACTTCTTCAACTCAGCTAACTCAATTGGTGACATTCGATATGGTGCCTTTGAGATTGGTTCAGTTCCTGGCACTAGGTCTACGTGAATTCCACTTCCCTTTCTGGAGGCAAACCAGACATATCATCCATAAATACCTCAGGTAATTCATTCACTACCCTAATCTTATCAATACTTCTATCATAGACCCCATGCACTGAGAAGAAAACCATATAAGCCATATACCCTTGTTGCATTAGTTTCTTTACTTGCACTACTGATAAAAACTTAGACTTACTAGGAATATTAGCCGGTGCAGCATATACTGGTAACAAAACTATCTTTCTAGCACAGTCTAAGGTGGCATTATTTGCCATCAACCAATCTACACCAATAATCACGTTTAAACCCTTCATAGGAATCTAGATCAAATCAAGAGTAGTATAATGATTTTCAAACCTCACATCTAGAAATAATAGCATAGACACTTTAATCACATAAGGAAATTCATGCAAAAGAAGTCCCAACCTCTCTACACATTTATATGAAATAAACAAATGTGTAGCACCGAAATCAAAAAATGCTTCAATTTTTTGCTCGCAGATAGAAATAATACCTTTTATCAAATTTAATGACGCTCTTGCCTCCTCTTGAGATAGTGTGTATACTCATCCTGGAATGGTAGATCTCTGCTCTGCCATCTCCACTCTTCCCTCGAGGCACTGTCTCTCCAAATGGCCGAGTTTCTCACATTTTAAACATACCCAGCAGCTCCTAGGATGTGATTTCCCACACTTAGCACATGGTGGTGATCGAGCTGTACTTAAGGTTGGGGTAGGTATATTGGAAGCTTGTCGGGATGGTTGTGGAACACTAGAACTCTTAAATCCACCCCTTTGAAACATTCGTCAAGTTTATGATCCTCTAACAAAACACTTCTTGCCTGATGCTATAAAACTGCTCGGACCATAATGTATCTTCTTAGAGACACCTCAAAGATGGTTTCAACTCTCTCTATCCATTTCTCTACTTCTCCTTCCTTCATAGTTTCATTAAAGGTTAGAGGGTTAAATCGGGAGAAAGTCCTCCATACTCAATCAATAGCCATCCCCTGAGCATCTCCATCCATTCTAAGTCCCTAATAATCCAGGTCTACTATCGAAACCATGAGATGGTTCTAATCTGCTCTCATTAGCTTCCTTTGGTCTCCTTATTCCTCTTCACGACCTCTATTATGGAGTAAAGCATTGTGGTCTTGAATAGAAAGTCAGTTCTTAAAGTGATTTTCAAGCATCCAAGTACCCAAAACTCAAAACTTATACCATTAACCCATTTTGAGGCTTGAACTAAGTGTAATAGACTAAAATACACTTGATTGAGCCCTCAAACACACAAAAACGTACCAAACACAAAATTTAGTTACTTAATGCCCATTTCACCCAATATGGCCAAAATACAAAATCAACACCATACACTATTTGGCCTATATTGCCACATAATACCTACTATACATTGTCATCACATAGATAAAACATTCCTTACACTTGTATTAGTATTTTATCCCATCACCATAAAATTGCCACATATTCTCATCATATGCAATATTAGGCTAAAATACAAATAACATAGTATGAACAAGTACAACCAATCAAAATGATATGCATTCTTACTTGGAACATATAAATATTATCCATATAAGTTTATGTACATGACTCAAAATAAAATCGAGCTTTACAAAGATAATGTAGTGAGTATCTAGCCCTTGTCTGATTCCTTCCCTTACTTAGTCTTAATAGTAGAACTTGTAAAATGATAACCATAGGGTGAGATAAAAATCTCAGTAACTAAGATAATATACATTATTGATTAACATGCCAAGTTATAAACAAGTCTTAAAATAAGCATAAAAAAACACACCATATGAAATCACCACAAGTTACATGCATGATCACTAACCACTCGATCCTCCAATACTCCTGACCAAATCGATTGGCTATTTTATGGACCAAACCACATGTACGGTCCTCAAGCTCACTATTTATGGTAGGACTACCTAGTCAAGGTGTTATAAACTACTTATAGACTACTGGTTTCCCTTATTACAAGTAATTAGGTTGTCATTACTCTAACATCGCATCCTACAAATGCTAAGGAGCATAGTCTCCAACTTTGCACCTTTCTAAGACTAAGAGAATTAAGTCTCTAATACTGCACCTATTTTCGGGTACTAAGGAGAAATATGAGTTGCACCTGGCATCCCAAGGTGCCAGCATGCCATATAGACTAATCTTCACTAACTCTACTAGAGTGACCTCCCCCCTTTAATGGCCACATTTCACTACATATCTTCACTTGACATGCATAAACTACTTCTAAATAAATATAACAAATCTTACTAAGTGGCTTAAAAATATTGAGTTCATAATCAATACTCCATCATTTTCTAAAATAGTTTAACTTTTACAAAATTCATACATCTATATTGATAGGGACGCGGAAGCAGAATCGTGCTAGTTTAGGGACAGAACCCTGAAACAACAAAAACACAAGAACAAAAAAAGAAAGGGACGAAATTTATGACGGAAATAAAGAAAGGTATGAAGTAAACAATAGGATAATGATCAAGGAGAAGATCCTCTAGAGCACCTGCCTCTAGGAACCTCAACCTTCGAAGACACCACAAGAGTTGATCACGCTCTTGATCACGTCGGTTTCTCACACGGGATACCACCACAAAGCACTAAGGCTCACAAGAGTTATAAACTCTAAAATGAATAATTTCATTCAACTTCTGTGTTGTTTACAATAGGGAGCATGCCTAATTTATATAGGCTTATAGAAAAATATTTCCTAAAATTAAAACCCTAATTTCCTAATACTAAAAGGAGAAATAATGATAAAATATTTAGCCACATAATTTAGGAGATGTGATCCTAAAATTATGGGATTACAAAATTTAGAAATTAATATTATAATTAATTCTAACCTTTGACTAGACTCAAAATAGAAAATCAAATCAAAGGACCATTAAAATAGGAAATAATTTAGGAGACAATCAAGGGATCATAAAGGATTTGAAATCACGCCACCTTGACTTCTTTACTAGGGTTTCATGTCTCCTTGCATGCAAGAGGCTCAACTTGTAGTCTTCCTTGCATTGGGCTAAGGTCTGCATCTCTTGGGCTTGACTCTTCATGAGTTTGGATCTTAAATACATTATACACATATAGATGCTCTCCTTTGGACTTGAGGGGAGTGCCCCAATGCTCTCCAAGCTCTTGAACTTCTTGCACAAGACTGAACAAGGCTTGCTTCATGGCTTTGGTTCGGGCTCTTGTCATTGGACCTCCAATATGTTGCAATGGGTCTTTAGGTACGTTGGATTGGAAGTATTGGGCTCCTTCTATGTCACCATGCTCATGATTACCATCCTCAGGCTTCGTTGCCATTAATGTTATGTCACCCTGTGCCATGGGGCCCATCATTCCCTCCCAGTTGGAAAGGATTCGTCCTCGAATCTGCAGAATCATATAAAGATAAATCAGAAACATTAAATGTGGCACTAACATTGCCATAAGAGCTAGGCAAATCAATCTTGTAAGCATTATCATTAATTCTTTCCAAAACTTGAAAAGGTCCATCTCCTCGAGCTTGAAGTTTGGACTTCCTTTGATTAGGAAATCTCTCTTTCCTTAAATGTAACCAAACCCAATCTCCAGGCTCAAAGATCACACGTCTCCTGCCTTTATTAGCTTGCTTGGCATATTGCTCATTCTTTCGCTCTATATTTGCTTTAACCTTAGCATGTAAGTCCTGCACAAACTTAGCTTTTTCCTTGCCATCAGTGTTAGCATGCTCAGAGAAAGGCAAAGGTAAAATATCAATAGGAGATAATGGATTGAAACCATAAACAATTTCAAATGGAGAATAAGAAGTAGAAGAATGAACAGCCCTGTTGTAAGCAAATTCAATATGAGGTAAACAATTCACCCAATTCTTCAAATTCTTCTGAATTATTGCTCTTAATAATGTAGTCATAGTTCTGTTAACTACCTCAGTTTGACCATCAGTTTGTGGATGGGCAGTAGTGGAAAAAAGTAACTTAGTCCCTAATTTATGCCATAGGGTACGCCAGAAATGACTAAGAAACTTCACATCTCTGTCACTCACAATAGTCTTAGGTAAACCATGCAAACGAACAATCTCTTTAAAGAATAAGTCAGCAATGTTAACAGCATCATTAGTCTTAGCACAAGCAATAAAGTGTGCCATCTTAGAGAACCTATCAACAACAACAAATATGGAATCTTTGCCTGCAGAAGATTTAGGCAATCCAATTACAAAATCCATAGAGATATGTTCCCAAGGGTGAGAGGGGACGGGTAAAGGAGAGTAAAGTCCATGAGGTTGGATCTTAGATTTTGCCTGTCTACATTTAATGCATTTATCACAAACAGATATGACATCTTTCCGCATGTGAGGCCAAAAGAAATGATCAGACAAAATAGCCAAAGTTTTATCTACACCAAAGTGTCCCATCAAACCACCACTATGTGCTTCCTTAGTAAGCAACTCACGCATAGAACAAATAGGAATGCATAATTTATTTTTCTTAAAAAGAAATCCATCAAATTTAAAGAAATCACCAGATCCATGATTTTCACAAGATTTCCAAATATTTTCAAAATCAGGATCAGTTTTATAAAGATCTTTTAGAATCTCAAAACCAAGTAATTGAGCATGCAAATAGGAAAGTAATGTATACCTTCGAGATAAGGCATCAGCAACGATATTTTCTTTACCTTGCTTATGCTTAATCACATAAGGAAAGGTTTCAATAAATTCCATCCAGCGAGCATGTCTCTTGTTTAACTTACCTTGAGACTTGAGAAATTTAAACTTTCATGATCAGAATGAATGATGAATTCCTTGGGCCACAAATAATGTTGCCATGTTTCTAAGGCCCTCTTTAGAGCATAAAGCTCTTTGTCATAGGTGGAATAATTCAAAGCTGCGCCGTGAAGCTTTTCACTGAAGTAAGCTATGGGCTTAGAATCCTGCATTAAAACAGCACCTATACCAATACCAGAAGCATCACATTGAATTTCAAATGCTTTAGAGAAATTAGGCAAAACAAGTAAAGGGGCATTAGTCAATTTATCCTTTAGGGTTTGGAAGGCCCTTTCTTGTGTTTTATCCCATTTAAAGGTCGCATTCTTCTTAACAAGTTCATTAAGAGGGGCAGCAATGCTAGAGAAATCCCTAACAAATCTCCTATAGAAGCTTGCTAAGCCATGGAAGCTTCTCACTTCACTTGCATTCTTAGGGGTTGGCCATTCACGAATAGCCTTAACTTTCTCCTCATCTACACGAATTCCCTGTGATCCAACAACAAATCCCAAAAAGATAACAGAGTCCATGCAAAAGAAACACTTTTGAAAATTAGCATATAATTTATATTCCCTCAAGATGTCAAACACATTTTTAAGATGATTCATATGATCAGTCAAAGATTTACTATAAATCAAAATATCATCAAAGTAAACCACAACAAACTTGCCTATAAACTTTCTAAAAACATGATTCATTAATGCCATAAAAGTGCTAGGAGCATTAGTCAAACCAAAAGGCATAACTAACCATTCGTATAATCCAAATTTAGTTTTAAAGGCAGTTTTCCATTCATCACCCTCTTTCATACGAATTTGATGATAACCACTTCTAAGATCAATTTTAGAAAAGATAGAAGCACCATGTAATTCATCAAGCATATCATCAAGTCTAGGGATAGGGTAACGATACTTTACAGTGATTTTGTTGATTGCTCTACAATCAACACACATCCTCCAAGATCCGTCTTTTTTTGGCACCAAGATAACAGGGACAGCACAAGGGCTAAGGCTCT